TTCGCCTTAGCTATTATAATGTAATAAGGGTTAACCGGTGAGGCAGTTTCTGTAAGCAGGTCAATAAAGATTAGGCTAGAAACAACATCAGAATGTTTCCTTCCTGCCTTCCTTACAGGATTAACCCTGTAAATTAGAAAAAAAACAAGATAAGATTTCTTCCAACAACCGGTTCTCTGAACTACTTAGAAAGTTGCCAACCAGTTCTCCCAAATAGGTGCGAACTGGCTGAATCCCACCACTGCTACCAGTTCACAGAACCAGGGACAATTATCCCTACTGGTTCAACCAAACCAGGCTGAACCAGGAGGATTTCACCCCTGGTTCTACCATTCACTTTTTAATTTACTATTCTGTGCTTTACTTATCCAAGGAATTAATTCAGATTCTTGACCTAGTTCTTTTCTTTCACTACTACAGAAATAAAAAGGTTCCCCAAATTGTTTTCTTGAAGCTGAACAAATTGCTATTATGATTGTAGAGATGGACCCAGTCCTCCATGTTCTATCCAAATCTTGTTGTGGCCCACCAGCTGCCAGCAGAGCTGGCAGCAGACTCACACAACTAGGAGGTTGGGGAGGAACTTGGGCCAGTTCTGGAGCCTGGGGAAGCTCTGCATCAGACAAAGAGATAGAGCCAGGGCAGTCCAACATTTCCCAGCCACCGGAGAGGCAGCTGCTTTTGAAGGCTGAGATAAGTGAGGAAGAAGAACAGCTGGGGCCTGTTCCAGATGCACGTATGTGCAGAGCAGTTAGGAGAGGTGAACAATGGAGAACAAGGAGTCAACTCCGAAAGCAAAGCACACACCGATGCTGAATGCCCCCTCCCCCTAGCTGGGGAATAAATAGAAGGAAAGGTGAGCGGTTGTCGTAGGAGACAACAGTTGGTATTTCTGAAGGTTTGTTCATTGTGTTTCGTGCATCAGACTGCTTGCCAGAACTTAACTTGTAGCCTTTTGACTGGGATCTCCCGGCCTTGCAATTATCGCAAGAAACTGTTAAGGTCTGTTGCTGCATTTAACTCCTTGCTTGGACTTTTCGATGGGTGAATGCCATTAATTCACAAGAGGTAAATAAAGAGGGGTTTTTCGTGCCAAGGAGTCTGTTTCTTGCTTCTGCGAAGGCTGGCTCAGAACAGATCTATTATCTATAAAGATAATAGACGTTCTAACATTACTTATACCTAGGTTTTTCTATGCTATTTTCCACATTTGGTTTTATGCAACATCAGAGGGCACTTTCCCTAAAATGCTGTCCCCACAGAGGGTGTCTACACTCTTACATGGTGTTATTCAGGGTGTTAAAACTAAATTTAATGCTTTCACAATATTTGTGCCACGTATTTCAATTGATCCTACTACTCCTTATTAATATGACTTGCTGTTAAATTTTTGCCTGCTCCTTGGAAATAATTATTATTGTTTCTATATAATCTCTATGTTAGCCTTCCTTGCTTTTGGTATACTCGTTAATATTTGATGTTTTTTTATTTTTATTCTGCAAAATCACTTTACGCTTAATAAACAGAAAAACAATGCGAGTCATTGTTTGAAATTGTACCTTTAAAAGTCTATGCAATTGACCCAAGACACATGAGCAAAACACACACTCAAATGCCTCCATGGCAAAATAGCCAAGGCCAACTGTGTACTGTGTTCAAGAAAAAAAAAGAGAAAACAATACATGAACAAAAATCAAGAACAGCAAGATTAAAAAAAAAAACATAGCTTGTTTTACATTTAGGAGTACAGGTAATTCTCGACTCATAACATTCATTTACTGACCGTTTGAAGTTACAACGGCACTGAAAAAAAGTGACTTATGACCATTTTGCACACTTATCACCACTGTAATGCCCCCATGGTAACGTGACCAAAATTCAGATGCTTGGCAACTGGTTTATATTTATGACGGTTGCCGGACTTCAACTCCCAAATTCTGGGAGTTGAAGTCCGGACATCTTCAAGTTACCAAGGTTGAGAAACACTGACCTAGGCTATAAGGTGAATTGAGTGAGGGGAGAATTGCACAATGGGGCCTGGCATCTGAAAAGAAACCCACCTTAATCCACCTATAAAAGCAAAATATTGATTTCAGAAATGTATATTTGATATTCTCTTTCGCACCCACCCCCTCCACCCCTCCAGGAAAAGCTTCCCCTAGCTGGAATCTGGTATGAGAAAACATTAAACAAATGTAGCTTTTCCTACAACTTCACTTGGCTGTGTTAAACTTGTACCACCACTTTATTGCTGCTTAATAACAATTTTATATCACTGGAGTCAAAGAATATTCTTTTATTTAAAGAAAAATACACTGTACTTTATGAACATCATGAAATATCCAAACACGTCTTTTTTATTTTCAGGGCGCTCAGCAAGAAAACTCATATTTACACCATATAAACCACAAGATGTGTTTTCTCACCAGTACTCATCAGTAGTTATACATATAACACTAAAGCCTTTAGAAACTAATTTGAATTTTACACGGGCATCCTATTTGGTTTCGTATAGATATAAAAAAAATTATAACTCCTGCTGTTCTTGCCTGTTACAAGAAGAAATATTTCACTGTTACTTCCAACAAGCCCCGGGGCTAGCTGGAAGCTTGATTTTCTTTTGGTAGCGCTTTTAAGACATTTACATTAATCATGTCTTACTCAAATGTGCTAATTCAGCGCTGGTAATTCAGTTAAATCAACTTATGTGTTTCAAAATGTAGTTATTAGAACTGTTAAAATGTGTAGGATTAAACAAAAAAAAAACTAAGAGAAAGGTTCAGGCTGTCAGGAGAGTGTTCTTCCAATATACTGTAGGTATAAACAATACCTACAACACCTATATACCAATACAATACCTCTAAACAATATTGGAAAATCCTCACTGATGAGGTTCAATGCAGTACAACCTGCAATAAAATATATATACAACTTCTAAGCATCCTAGTGCACAGATAAGATTTAACTGGGTTTTAAAACATGATTTCTGTATACCTGTCACTCATTCTCTCTCCCATGAGAGAATGCACAAGTCACTAAGTGTAACAAAAGAAAATGGATATAACTTATGAAATGATAGTACTTGCCAACAGGCAAGAATTGGTAGCAATCAACTCAGCATTAAGCTTCCCTGTAATTAATGAAATACCTTGAGATTTACATCTGTCTTAATATATTCTGCAGTTTAGATGGAGCCTTTTTGTGGTAGTAAGCAAAACAGAGCATTGTGGAAGAAAACTGGAATGGCTAGGACGTATGGAAGTCCATAGCGAAATCTGCATTTTACTGAAATGTACTTACATCGAAATGGTCAGAATAAATAAAGAGATTATTTTCATATTATATTAGTTTAAATTCAAACTTTTTCCTAGTAAAAACAAATCAACAACATTTGGCAGCTATACAATCTAGACAACTGTATGCCTCACACCTCACAAACTTAGTAACATATAGAACAAGTGTTCTTGATTTTCATATTTCTGCATTTTTTTTCAACATCCGCAAAGGCCAAAGCACACCAACTGTCTCTTGTGATACATTGTTATTACGTTTAATTTTAAAAAAAACTGATAGTTCCTAATCACTTCTGAAATTAAACAAAATTCCAAATGATCATTACATATAAGCACAAAGTTTAGCATAATAATAAAAATCTAGCACCAATTGCAAGATGGTCTTTGTCCAGTAAGGTAACAGATTAGCTTCGCTGAAAACCTTATTCCCAAGTATTTCTTTTTCCATGCTGTCATCATCCCAATGTTAAATCAATCTTCAATAGAGACTTTTCAAAGACATAAAAATATATGCATATGGCAGGGGACGAAGGGAACCAAACCAGAATACTAATGGACCCTTTACACTTTTTAATAGTTATGGGCCTCTGGTCTGGATTTCTATAAATGATAAATTTATAAATAGAACACGTTCTGCATACTGTTCCTGCATTGCTTTTCAAATGAAGGTTGATCTTTTGTCCATTAATAGTTGTCAACTGTGATAATCCATTTACTCTGATTTTAACCTAAAAAAAAAAAACACAAGCAGATATATTAGAAAGAAAATATACATAATAATTTGTTCAGGTTTACTGTGAAGACCTGCCATTTTACAGAGACTTAATTTTTTTAACTTTTTTTTTTTCATAGACCATAGAATAATACAGTTGGAAGGGAACTCAAAGGTCTTCTAGTCCAACCCCCTGCTCGAACAGGAGATCCTATACCACATCAGACAAATGATTGTCTGGTCTCTTCTTGAAAGCCTTCGGTAATGGAGCACCCACAACTTCTGAAGGCAAGCTACTCCATTGGTTGATTGGTCCCACCATTAGGAAATTTCTCCTTAGTTCTAGTTGCTTCTTTCCTTGGCTAGTTTCCAATCATTGTTTCTTGTCTTGCCTTTGGTGCTTTGGAAAATAATTTGACCCCCCTCTTCTTTACAGAAACCCCTCAAATATTGGAACACTGCTATCATGTCTCCCTTAGTTCTTCTTTTCATTATACTAGATATACCCGATTTCTGTAACTGTTCTTCATGTTTTAGCCTCCAGCCCCCTAATCATTTTTGTTGCTCTTCTCTGCACTCTTTCCAGATTGTCCACATATTTTAATATGTTTTTTTAAATATATTTTAAAATCTATCTGTCTATCTAGCCATAATTTCTATCTCTATTTATCTATCTATCTATCACAGACCTGTAATTCTTTAGTTCTGGTTTCCGAAGAACAGCCAAGGTGGCGCAGTGGTTAAATGCAGCACTGCAGGCTACTGCTAGATCAGCAGGTCAGCGGTTCAAATCTCACCGGCTCAGGGTTGACTCAGCCTTNAAACTAAATGGAAAAACATCCATCTTTCTTTGGCGCTGCTCTTCAGGGGTGTTTTGATACAGAATGGGTGGGGCTAGTCAACTGATATTCAGAAGCCCTACCCCTTTTTTAAAAAAATCAACAGGTATCATGGCTTGAAAAAGTTAGAAAATCCTTGGATATGCAATAATACAACCACGAATATATACCTTTATGAAATCCCAAGCCACCATTTCAATTTATAGAAGGGGAAGAAACCCACAATCTGCTTTCTGTAATAATGATGTATTTAAATACTGTTTTTTTTAAATGGACAATTTTTTGCTTATATTAACGGAGAGTCATACTAGAACATGATGAACTGTTCCAGTAGTACCTATATTGCATTTAACTATCCATTCACTTAAAGATCAAGATACTAAAAACTAATAAATTCAATACAAGTCTCATATGGTGTTAAAAATAGTATATTCTCACTGGGAAGGATTTAACTCACTATATTTCTACTGAATTAAACTCCAGCATATAGGTTTGTAGTACTTTCTATGTACGTGAAATAAATTTAGTTGAAACAGCATTACGACCTAATGTGATTAAAATCTGAAGCCATAATTATCTGATTCAGGGCTAAATAAAAAGATACTTAGTATAACTATGTAAAACATCTGGATGAACTTTAATATGAACATATTGATAAATGCATTGCAATTATTAAAACATTTACTTACCAGTATTTTAAAATGTATCAGGCTCACATATTTTTTGTTCCACTATAAAGTTTGTATGCTTACTAGTCAGAGTTATCACACCAATAAGAGAGTTTGAATGTCATTGTCCATGAATATGTACATGGCCAGCCTGTCTTCTGTATAAGAATTCTTTTTCATGGGGAGGAATGTAAGTTTCTTGTAAAATAAACAACTTTAAATTTTCATCAACCAATTCAGTATCTGTTTTTTCTTAGAAGGTCATTTAAGGCCTTTTATATGTTCCATCATCATTGGCCAAAGTCATCATAAACAAACAAAACATACCTACAGATCAACATTTTCATAGGTTAAAGGGGAAAAAAACAAATCCATTAACTGAGCCAAACTTTTTGAAGAAATAGATAGATGATAGATAGATAGATAGATAGATAGATAGATAGATAGATAGATAGATAG